GAGCCGATGTTTTTGTACTTCTGCATTTTCTTACACAATGAACAATGACCAAGAAGACTCTCAGGTGAGATCTGCTCTCATTGTCTGCACGCGTGTTAGTTGTTTTGCAAACCTCATTTTCAGTCTTGGAACAAGTCGAGAGACGCAGAAAAACTATAATTTGCAGTGTCTTTCTCTAACGTACTTCATGTGTTGTCAAAGCTTTGTTTATGTGCTTGTGTTTAAGCTGCAGTGTGATGTGCTCTCTCGGCCAAGAGATTCCTTAGAATTCAGCTCTTTGTTTTGTAGCAGTTTCATGCATTTTAGATACAAACTCATTATAATCTTATGAAAAACAGACTCATCGTTTTTGAAGACAAAGAATCAGAACTCTGTATTTATATGAACGTCTGTTAACCGTCGGGAGATTACTTCCCACGTTAAAAATAGCACCATTGAAAATTAAGTTAAAAATGGCAGGCAGCGTTTGCTAAAGATTTATGTGATTTATTTTCCAGGTCCAATCTCTGGATCAGAGTCCAACAGATGATGCTTTAGGTCTTTCTCCGACCTCCACCTACAGCTTGGTGGGTCCTCACGCTGGATCCCTGGTACCCACTGAGACTGGAGGCACGACTCTGCCAGAGAGCCTGTATGCTCAGGTGGAGAAGCCGGCCAGGTCCTTCAACAATTAGCGAGGAATTGTGTTCCACATACTGCAATTACTGAAGTTTCTAGTTGTATTTAAGTGTTGCCAAAGCTTTCGATGTTTAAGTTTATGTCACCCGCTCTGATATGGAACGATTCTCCAATACAAAAATCTGCTGCAAAACAATGTGGAAATGTTACGAAGCATCACGTACGTTCAGAAGTTGCTTTTTCTAGCATCACAATTCAAAGTATTAGTATTTAAATCTTAATACATTTAAGATCAATGTGCAAAGTTTTTAGCTGTGCTGTACATGAAGAACAGAGAAAAAAAGCTTGATTGTTATTAAATGCTTTATTTTTCTATACTATACGTTGTCATGAATTCAGTGTGTCAGGTGTGTTTACTATAACAATAACACTGATTGAGTCCTTGCTGAAAACTCACAATATACCAGAGGAGGTCAGTGTCACCTTTAGGGGTCCATTAATCACAAAAATACAAGATAAGTATGAATCTTTAACAAGTTTCCAATAATGGTGCATGGAGCAGAAACTGCTTCACCCAAAGATTAAAACATGCTGAAACAAAAATTTAAACATACTGTACTTATAAACAGACAACTATGCATTATATACAGTTTATTCATTAAGGCTATTTCTTGTATATTGTTGGTCTTGATCATAAATAGAAAGTTACTTTTTTTTTGTTTTTTCAAGATGAAATCCTCCAAAAACATGTTTACATGGTCATCTCTCTGTGCAATCATTTTATGTACAAAGTGTAAACAGTGATATTTGTTATCAATGATAATCAAGAACTATCAGCATTAGTTTTTTAGGTGACCTCTGCAGTTTTCTTGTGAAGAAACAATGTTTACGTGAAGTTTTTCTCGTCAAAATGCATCATTGAGTCCACGTTTTAAGAACATTTCTCACCATGAAACATTTACAAAGCTGATTTTATAAATACTTTAAATCCTAAATTGTTTACGTCCATGTTTGCTGGCGTTCAGTCTTCTACCTCTTTGTCTTTTCCTGGTGAGTTACTGCCACCAGCTGTGGATCAGTGGTATAGCATGAGATCAGTGGCAGGAATGTGTACTAGAGGGCTCGCACAAACAAAATAGGGACACAAAAAATAACACTGCTCTCTAGTGCCAGCAGTGATCACAGACTCCACAGGGGAACCTTTAAGGATAAGAGCGTATGATTGGCTGACAGAGAACTGTTTGGTTATTTGTGCTTCTTGAACTTCTCCATGAGGTGAACAGTGATGACGGCAGACACCATGATGATCAGACCCACAGAGAACACGACCATCTTCACCAGGCACACAGATGTACCAGCAGAGGAACCCTCTGAACCTGAAACACAACAAAACAGGTGCTTCATTACAAATCTGACAACAGATTCAGACTGTGACGCTACAGCACGACAGGAACAAATCAGTAAAGATAGCATTTTGTGTACTTTGTAGTTTACTCAAATACTGTAATTCCTACATTTCAAAAGTGCAAAGTGCAGTTAAGTTTTACAAACAGCGTTGTGCATTGTAAAACAGCATCATAGTTTTATGTTGATTCATTGTTTATTTTACTCTTCAGCTTAGCTGAAGTGTGTTGATTGAAACAATCACGTTCAAGTGCTGCTTATATGTTCTGTACTGAAAAATGCAGAAATGGAGAAAAATATCAGTTTCTACACCAAACATGTAAATGAATTATTGAATTATTTATGACATTTAGTGTTCCTGTAAATAACATTGTTTGTGTTTTCTAGTTGAGTTTGTATTTCACCCTGCAGCCTCACAAGGTGCTTCAGACATGTTCAGAACTAATTCATTTTAAACACACACAATCATTTTCTTTAACAAACAGAAATGCTAACAGGCTCCAAGTCTTAAAATCTAAACTGTTATCAGGAAGTCTTCTTGTCTTTCAGTCTTACCAGCATATTGGGCCAAAAGTGTGATGAAGGGCAGTTGTCGTGTTTGGGTCCTCCCCTTCTTACTTCTTACTTCGTGTCAAATTACAAAGAGAACAACTTGTGTTAAGTCATAAGGAGGGCAGGATATACTCACAGACGGGGTAGAACCTACAATACTTCCTTTATAATAATCATGATTAATACACACACTTGCGTATTGCTCTACACAAATATAATAATCTTATGATTTTGAGTTCAATCTCGGTTTGCTGTTTATTCTATAAAAACACCAATAAGTGATCCTAAGACAGTTCTTACACAACTCACAAGATCCCCACAACACTCTCATGATATTATTACATTTCCTGTTTTCCAACAATGGAAGACCTCGAGTTAAAGACACATAGAGAAAATGACCATTATATGTATTGCACATGGCAATGCACTTTAAAATGTTAGGTGAAGCACTTTCTGTTAAACTAATGTAGAACTACAACTGGAATGCAGTCACTTCAGATTGAATATATTGTGTTGATGGTGCTCTCTGGCCTCTACTGAGTCTGTTGGTGGTGTGGGCATTACTTCTTGTCTGTTATTGACAGACAGTTGGCACTTTATGTAAGAACATGATGCACATTTGCACCTTAGGAGGGTTATCTGCCTAACTTGGGTCCTTGTCATAGGAAGATGTGTTTTTTTTGATACTACTAAAAACACTTACACATTAAATATCATTGAATTCGAAGCAGTCGTGTACTTTTAAACAGACGCTTCCTTCCTACAAAGCTAATTGGATTTTCAGTTTCTTTGTCTCAGTGGCTTTAAACAAACGAGAAAATGTTGAATCACAAACAGCTGCGACCTTAATATAAATGCCCATCCTGTTATTGTGGGTTGCACATGTTACTGTAGAAGCTCTCCTTTCTGTGTAAAGTGGGAGCCTTCTGTGCGTCCACATCATTTTCAAGTTACTAACATTTAACTAACAACGAATATTTTGTCGAAGCCCCTTTTATTCTTCAGTCGAGGACATGAGAAGGACCATCAGAGGTGAGTGCTGAGAATGTGAAAGTAATCTTGTCTCTGATATTGATTATAATCTGATGGAAATGTGTGACAATGATGAAGCAAGGACGAGTATGATGGATTTAAATATGTTGGAAATGTATTTGTAACCTTTTATTGAATTAACATCAAGCTCTGGAATGTTAATAGTGTTTAAAGTGCAGATGGAGAGATCAAATGAGACAAATCTCTGGTTTAATAAAGATGATTTTGAGTTATTAAAGGCAGTATTTTGTTTCCTGACTTGTACAGTAGAGGAGGACGGAGAAGACGTCGAAGCTGACGGATGTTAGATTGATAAAATAGGAGAGCTGTGGCAACCATATGGACACATACATGATGTTTATTTGTGTTGTTCGAAGAATTTAAATAATTTATTTTGAAGAAATAGGATTATTTGGAACTCTTGTTTCATTAGAACTTGTCAAAGTTGATTGTCCGGAAGTTAAATTGTTGTTGCGCACGGTTCAAAAATAGCCTTCCCACTTCCTCATGCAGCACATTTGGCAGAATGAGGCCTCTGGTCGCACTTCTCTTTGCCGTTTCTCTGCTGAATTCATGTGAAGCACAAGGTAAGAACTTTATTTTACATGTATTTTCGGTTGTTGATCGTCTTTGTATTTATCTTAAAAGTCAAAGCTTTTGTACCGTAGCCCTATTTCACCAATAGAAGTTAGATAATAAACTTTACGGACTTATTTTTGAACTATCTAACTTAGAGAAATATCTACAATTCTCAGCGATATGTTCATTGTCAATTATTTCAATAGTGATGCTAATAAAATCTTTTATTGAGATACATTGAGATTTACAGTTATGTCAGTTAATACCACTTCCCTTACCCAGGCGTCACAAAACAATAGAGCTGTGTTTCTTTCTGGTTAATCTGGATATTATTATTATTATATCTATATATATATATATATATATATATATATATATATATATATATCTTCAGTTTAAAGAAGACAACACACAGCAGTATGATGATGTGTAGTTCATTCTCGTTCAAAGCTCTGATACTGTCTCAGTGAACAGTATCAGAGCTTTGAACAAGAAATCAAATATCATTGCCCTCAGCTCGTCAACAAGATTATTCAATATTATCCATATTTTGATGAAGATCTGGATCCAGACACAGATTGTAAACATTGTAAAACCTTTTGTGTTATTTAAGTGACATATTTAGAGGATTTTGCTCCTTGGTGAAGGAATGCTTTCTTTAAGTCCTTTTTAGTTTTCATTTAGACGTTTTCTATCATTTCTGCCTTGAATTTATATTCATATTATAACCGTTACAATAGAAGACGTCTGTGATACAGAGGAAAGCCTTCAAGGTGGTTTGAGACGCATTATAGCCGCATGTTCAAAAGGAGTAAATACATCCGTCCCTCCAAGACACATACGGAAACTCTACTCCTCCCGTAGTGTAACTCCCTCAGTAAGTCTGTGGAAATAACTGCTCACTGTCTGATTTACTAAATACATCAATGGCCTGTCTGAAGCTGGAGGAACAATACTTTGGGTAAGAGGGAGGGGAAAGAGAACAAGGTGAAATAAAGTCCTCTGTTTTTCATAAGAGATAGAATGGAAATAAACTTTGTCATGTTAAAAATAAAAGCTTTGAGCGACATCTTGCTCTCAGTGGGCTTAGTTTCACCTGTTAAACTCTTCTTTCCTGAAGCAGTCTGTGTCACAAGACAAAGCTGATGTCAGACATGTTAAGAGAACTCTTCCAATCAATGATAAGCTGAAGGTGTTTAAACTGATGGTTCAATGTGTAAGAAGTAGAGATGGAGTAACATGCAGTGTTGACCCATTAATCATATATTGAGTGTGATGTTTATTGTATTATGTGTCTACTGTTTTTACAGGGCCCAGTGCTGTGACTACTGTGTTTGTGCAGAAGGGACGTGATCTGATTCTGAATGTTGATGCTGATGTTCCTCAGGAGTTTTTAAATGTTGAGTGGAAATTCAATAAGACGGTCGTTGTAGTAAGATTTGCACCTGATGGAAAACATTTAGTACATCCTGATTTAACTGGAAGGATTGAGTTTACTGTGAAAAAGTTCTCTGTGATATTGAAGAATCTACAAGAGGCAGACAGTGGAGTTTATACTGCAGAAGTGTTAAGGTTTGACGGAAACCAACCACTAACTGAATACAAGGTCACAGTTCAAGGTGAGTTTGTTCACATGTCAGACACTGACAGAGAGTTTCTGCTGCCATGTTTCATAACTTCTTCACAGAAACCTTCCCCCCCCCCTCAGGTCCAGTGTCTCCAGTTGACCTGACAGTGGACCCAGGGGTCTCCAGAGGCTCAGACTCCTGTAACCTCACTGTGACCTGCAGTACACAGCACTCTCACATCAGCAGCACTTTTAGATGCGTCAACCGAACCTGCAGTCAGGATGGAGGAGAGAAATCAGAGCTCACAACCTCTGGTGCTTCTCTCCACGTCTACCTGTTGAATAGCTCCATCATCTGTAACCACAGCAACCACTTCAACTGGACCCAAGTCTTTAAAAGGATTGAAAAACCTTGCCCCCAATATGGTGGTAAGACTGAAAGACAAGAAGACTTCCTGATAATAATGCTGTTGTTGTTTTTATGTTTTAAAGAAATCTTTTACACTTCCAAGTGAATAAGTTCAGTTGTTTTCCGCTGTACATTAATACATTGGGTTTGTTACTAATATGGTTGAACTAGTATTTCATGGGAGTGTGGGGTGTAGGATTTTAGCACTGAAAAAACTTTTGCAGTACAAATCTTGTTAATATCTAAAGATTCCCATTTTTTACTTTTAAATTCTGTGAAGCGTTGTTGTGAAGTGCAGGAAAAACAACTTGCGTGTTCGTTTTAATGGGTTTAAAGTCAGTTTTACACTTTCATTAATTTTTTTTTTTAAATTGACGTTATTTCAAGTGAAACCTAGTACCCCCCCCCCCCAAACAAAACCAAACCCTGATCTAGCGGCTATCATGAATAGCTAGTATAGGTTATTAAGCCAAAACGGTCAGTGGAATATCACCAGGTTGATCTTGTAAAACTGAGAAGCAGGTGGTATTTAAATTAGCTGATTCAGGGACTTTTGGAAGGTTGGTAGTGTTAAATTGTGACTGTTTTAATTAAATAAATCAAATGATTTCTTACTACAGATCAGGTTACCGAGACATTTGTATGATAACACTGCAGTCTGTCCAGAGCACGGGCTGGGAACATGTGATGCTACAGTGACACATTCTCAACTATGTTGCATGACTTAAATCAGGCCGACTCTTCTCATCTGATTTTGTTTTACAGCTCGTATCCATGTCCCTGTCCATATCCCTGTGATTGCTATTTGGTTACCAATTCTCATTGTCGTCATCATTGCTGGTGTGTTCGTCCTGTTTCTTTATCGTCGAAAGAGAGGAAACTGTAAGTCCAAGAAACAATTTCAATATATAATTGCAAGTAATATTTGCAAAATCCTATTTGTTTACTCAACATTTTTAAAATGTTTAAAGTTCATCTTCTGCCATATTATACAGTATACAGTAAGGAAATCAACCACTGATCATTAGCCCATATCTCTCTATCTCTCTATCTATCTCTCTATCTATCTCTCTATCTCTCTATCTATCTCTCTATCTATCTCTCTATCTCTCTATCTATCTCTCTATCTATCTATCTCTCTATCTCTCTATCTCTCTATCTCTCTATCTCTCTCTCTCTCTCTCTCTCTCTCTCTCTCTCTCTCTCTCTCTATATATATATATATATATCTATCTATCTATCTATCTATCTATCTCACAAATTTGCCTCAGAGGGCTTTACAATCTGTACAACATAGGACATTGTCTGTCCTTGGATGCTTGCATCAGAAAAGGAAATACTTTTTTGTGATAGATACACATGTGATATATTACCAAAATGTGAAAAAGGAAACAACCTCAAAAATGAGTGCAGTCTTTATGCTTTAGCACATTCATTCTTAGCATCCCAGGTCAGGTCCCAGAGGTATCTGCATGCTTTGCTCTCTGCCGCAGCACATTGTTTTGATCCAACCTCTAGGAGTCCCCAACATCCCAACATATCTAATCCCACACATAGAGGCTTTAAAGTGTGCTGCTGTCTGAGGATGGAGGCATTTAGACACCAAGCTGGACTCAATGTAGTGCAGCTCAAGTAATGTAGTTGTAAAACATTTAAAAAGTAAATTTGTATCTTTAAAGCTGTTTTTTTTTTTTTTTTTTCTTTGTCTGACCTGCAGAGAAGAGAGGGCATCGAGAATACGGTTTATGAAGTTCCTCAAGTAAGTTTGTTTTTTTTAAAACATCATTCTCCGCATTTGAGGAAACGATCCATCTATCTAAACCTGGTCTCGTCTGGCAATTAGTCCACTCAAACTGTGTTTGTTTCTGCTGCGTGTGTGTGTGTGTGTGTGTGTGTCGTTTGCTTGTGTCTTGGTTGTTCAATCATTTTGATGCTCCACTTTGCAGAACATCAATACGTTCCAAATGATGTTGGGTTCTGGAAACTCTAATCCCATGCTGGTGTCTAAAATACTGCAACAATGTATTTTAAATTAGGCCACAGGTTTTTATTTGCATCACATCTACTACATGATCACAGCTGTGTTGTCTCCTTTGCTTCCATTTTTTGGCACACACCAGTAAACCTAGAGCTACATGTGACTTCCTGCTGAGCCGATGTTTTTGTACTTCTGCATTTTCTTACACAATGAACAATG